TAAATTTGATTCAGATTCTATTCGTATTCGAATTAAAGAGATTCGATTCGATTGGATTCGAAGTAAAAATTTCAGATTCGATTCGATTCGATTTCGAACATGTTATAAAAATTCGATTCGATTCGATTCGACCATGCAAATGCTTGATTCGCACACCTCTAGAATATTCGACTGTGATTGGTCAATTTTATTACTACTTTCATTACAGATGGATTTAATAGAAATTTTAATCAATATATGACAATTTTGAAGCTCCATTTCTTCATTACAAAACAAGTCAAGATGAATATAACAAAAACACTCACAAATTTAACGTATCATCTTGCTTTAGGAGCTATAAGTTTATTGGACCGCGGCACATTTTGTCACGCGGCAAGCATTTCCGCGTCCAGTGTGCAGAAGCCCTTAAATCAGTATGGTGACTTTATGCTGGCTGCCCATTGGTCCAGCGATCTTATGCTAGACTTATGCTTTGTTACGCATTTCATATGCTTCTGGCCAAAGTCTGTGCTTCCGACTTTCCTTTTCCCGAGCGACCATCGTGGTGTGTACACGTGTTAGAGCGAGCGATAGAGCGAATGCCGAAGGGGTATGTAGCAAAATATAAGCGAAGCAGCTGAATGCGAGCAAGTAACAAGCAAAATAAGTCTTTGTATGTACGATTTTTATTGTAATTTTTATTTTTTTTTCGAAGACTGCAAGTACCTCTAACTTGGAATTAAGAAAATTCAAACTGTACAAAACGTTAAGGTAGTTCTTTAGTAAATCGAGTTATTTGAAAAATGTCTAATTCTTTTATATAATAAAGTTGAACTGCTGAACTTGACGTGTGCATAATTCCAGGATAAGTTATCAATGAAATAAGAAAGTAAAAAAATGTTGAAAATGTAAATTTTTACGTATAAACTTAGCTTAACAGCTCATCTTCAACATGATAATAGAATGAGAATGCGTAATAAGTAATCCCCGTTTTTGATCAGATATATCGGCTATCAGTTCCGAAGTGGAATCCTTACCCAGGTAGCATCTTGAAAACGTTTCTGAATAGTTAATAATTGAAATATCTTTATAATTGAAATATCATTTTTTTTACCAAAAAAACGTTTCTTTAAACGTTTTTTAGAATGGACATTTTAACCACTCAGAAACGTTTTTAAGAGTCGGTTACGAAACGTTTCTGAAACGAATATGTGCTACCTGAGTAATAACTGACAAAGAAACAACCCCAGGGACCTATTCTGTACATGCTACCGATGATTTTCGATGTCGTTGCGCAGCTTTTCTTATACTAAAAAAAGTTGTCCAACGACACCGGTAACCATCGATAGCGTGCAGTACAGATCGAATAGTCCAGAATAGTGACTCATCCGATCAGAACCGGGGATAAGTTAGCGCTCTCGCACTCTATGATATTATCACGCTGAAAATGGCTCTAAAGTGAGTCGAAACATTTTTCTTGTATGTTTTTCAATGTAATTTAAAGTTCTAATATATGTTTTTTTGAGCACCAAAAACCGCTCGGAACTCTCATTAGTCTATCTTACTCTGTATTTAAGTTTTAAATTCGAGAGTCCTTTATTATTAATTTTGGAGATTATAATAGTTTAAAAAATCACAATTTTGATCACAACAAGGTAATAGGTCATCGATCATTCTAGAAAGATATTTAATGTTAAAATGGTAAAATATTGCATAATCTTGCTAGCAATGTACGTATATGGATTGTATTTTACTTTCTTATCCTTGTCATTCTCACGCGGAGTGGCAATATCGTTTGTTTTATACTATTTTATTGGATATACACATTGTTTTAATATTTTATCCAAATTATACAAATATTTGTGATTTTGGGTGGGCCCTGGTAAAGGCTCCCCAAATTCTCGGCATTTTACTAAAGAACCATCTTAATACGTGTGCTTCAGTGAGTTTTATCTTCACTTTTTTAATACAATCGAACCCCGCGATAACTTGAATCTTAAGGGAACAAAAAAACACTTCAAATTATAGTTTTCGACTTAAATTTCAAACTTCGATTAAAAGAGGATTAACATATGACAATTCGACTTATAGAAACTTTATACAAGAGTTTATAATTTGCTGATTTTAATGGCTTATCTAAAGGATGAAAAATCAATTTTTGACAATAAACTATTTATTGCATACATATAATAAATGTAATTATAAAACAAAATACCAGGCTATTACTCATGTTTACACATAGCTACAACTTCGAATTTATGCAGGCAGAGACAATAAAAGTTCGACTTATATGTATATAGAGGTGAATTTCGACTTGTAGAAGTTTGTTGAATACTTTAAATTCGAGTTCTAGAGGTAAAATAATGCATCTAAATACCTGACAAATAATTCAAGTTGAAGGTAGGTTTTATTTCGATTTTTAAAGGTTTTCCGCAATGGAGCGGATAGGAATGAAAAAAATTTTTGTTTTATAAAAATTTTCGAGTTGTAGAGGTTCGAGTTATCGAAGTTCAACTGTATTAAAATTCGATCTCTTTTTATTCACAACCTTATGTATATCCATCATCCCATCTTACCAATATAATTATAGCATATCTATACCGCTAATATTCTTCTTTGTATATTATTTTTATATACTTTCTCTTTCATCCTATTTCCTCACTCTCTCCCGCCTCTTCTGCTATTTTTTCACACTTATGCTCTTCTTTTACCAATATTTTTTTTTTATTTGCTCCAAAAACTTATCTCGCTACAAGTCGCAATACTCGTCAACCGCAGACATAAGTTTTTATGTAAAAGATCGAACTGCCCATAGTAAGGCAGCGTTTGGGGAATGTGTTATCAGTGTTATCATTTCGTCCTTAGAAATAAAAAATAGTGAAAAAAACATAAAGATAAAATGACATAATGATAAAATAATTATAACGTATTTCCCGAACGCAGCGTGGCTCTTAACTGCCGGGCTACGCCGGCTCATAACGTATTACATACTCGTATTACATACGTATATATGTATAACATATGATCGTCCCGTTATCTTCCAGCACAAACGCTATGGCTGCCGCGCATGATAATGTGAATGGGAGAATGGATGTGCGTTCAAGTACGTTTCTTTTTATTATATTCATGAATTTGTTTATAAAAAATAATTTAGAAACTTCGAAATTTTTTAAATGAGAAATGGCGCATTTAAATGTTAAATTGATTAATATTGTCAAAAGAAAAAATAAATAAAAGCAAACAATGAGCAATTTATTAAATGCAAAGCAAAACTGTTAGCGGGATTGTCAAATGAATTACCAAATCAACGAATAAAAGTGTAAATAACGTGAAATCAGCATAGTGCCAAATTTTAAAACAAACGGTTAAAATAATATACCAAAGTTATATTGTTATAGCCGTTTGTTTTAAATTTTGACACAGTATCGATTTCACCTTACTTATTTTTCCTTCGTTCACTCTATGATTATTTGACCATCCCGTACTACCGAATTGTATTTATTTTCAAATTTACTACGTTTTTAAAACTAACATATTTCATATATAATTAGATTTAGTTAGACGTTTAATACAAATTATTTTTTATTTTTTATTGTTCATTTTTTATATCATCTTTTATATAAACTTTTATATAAACATTTAGTATGTGTGCATAGTCGATATTAGTTTTTACGAATGTCTGTTTTCTAATTATCTATGTTTACAAGTGCTCCATCTTTTCAACTTATTTTATTTAATTGTAAACTAATAACTTACATGTAATTTTATTATTTTTCTTGACTAACGAAGAGGACTCTGTGAAGTCGAAATGTTAGTCACTTAATTTTATACTCGCACATTGAATAAATTACTCTTTGATAACCCTTAATAAATTTTTCAGTTCTTGGGGTTTTAGTTTATTCTTTGTCACTGCATAATATGAGACATAAATATTTTACTTATTGTGCAAAAACAAAATTGATTTGATCTATGTTGGTACGTATAAAATAAGACTGTCTTTCTATTTGTTTTCGCGGTGTAGTCGAAGTGGCGGAACTGTTAATGGTTGCAATAGTTAGAGGCGCAGGAAAGGCTGCACAGGAATTCCTGAAGAATTATCCTAACAATGAGGCTGCCAGCATTCTCAGCAGTTCTAAAATGACGTGCCTGCATGTCGCCGCGAGGGAGGGTCAGCGCGAACTATGCACCCTCCTTCTGGATGCTGGTGCTTCTTTACATATGGCCGACGAGAAGGGAAACACGCCTTTACATTATACGATACTCAGGTAAATTGGAAGTCGTTGCTGAATATGCCATAATATCAAACTAACATCGGTATTCACTCATTTAATTAAATAGTAATCAACCGGAGATAACGGATCTATTGTTATCGCGCGGCGCAGCCGTCGATGCCGTCAACAACGTCGGACGTAGTGCTCTGCATGAGGCTGTGTTGTATGGTCACCGGGAACTCTGCACCCTTCTTTTAAACGCTGGTGCTTCTTTAGATACAGTCACTAAGAAAGGAAACACGCCCTTATTTTGCGCGGTATTCAAGTAAGTTGGAAGTTGTTGCTGAATCTGCTGTAACGCTGCTCAAATTAACATCGGTACTCTATCGCTTGATTTAAACAGCAATCAGCCAGAGATAGCTGATCTACTGTTATCTTGCGGCGCATCCATCGATGTCGTCAACAACGCCGGACGTAATGCTCTGCATGAGGCCGCATTGTATGGTCACCGCGAACTCTGCACCCTCCTTTTGGACGCTGGTGCTTCTTTGCGTGCAGTCAGTAAGAATGGAAACACGCCCTTGCATTGCGCGGTACTGAAGTAAGTTGGAAGATGTTGCTAGATCTGCCGTAACGTCAAACTAATATTGATACGTATTCTCTCGTTTCATTAAACAGAAATCACCCAGAAACAACGGGTCTACTATTATCGCGAGGCGCAGCCATAAATGCTCTCAACGACGACGGAGATAGTGCTCTGCATGTGGCCGCATGGTATGGTTACCACAAACCCTGCATCCTCCTTCTGGACGCTGGCGCTTCTTTACATGTGGTCAACAAGAAAGGAAAAATGCCTTTGCATTACGCGGCATGCAGGTACGTTGGAAGTCGTTACTGGATCTGCCGTAACGTCAAA